AGTTTTCTGTCCTCTCTTCTCCACTGGACAGACCAGCCAAAAATAAATAAATAAAACTGAAAAACGTTTGGGTTTTGAAAACCAAAAATGAACATTTTTCATTTAATTGAAAAATCAGAAAATTTCAAAGGAAACACTTCTTTGTGTGGTTTTCCATTCAAAAAGTGTCACGGCGAATAGTTACCTTCTTTCAAGCATTTCCACTGGTGTATTAGAGAGAGGCTGATGTGGTGCTAGCCGGCTGAAAGGTTTATCAATGGGAAGTGGAACCTTGGCCAGACTTTAATCTGACCCAGTGTGTTAATGAACATGAAATGATTTTCTTTCTGACACCATTCACTGGCCCAGGGGCAATAATAATGGAAAGGCTCAGGGACCACTGGCAACACAATGGAGTGCCCAATGTCCTGACTGGCCAATAGGCAAACCCTGCATCAGGCAAACCGCCCTCCCTCCCTATCCTCTTTCTGATATTGGCATTTCCAATCCAAGTTTGCCATGAAGATTCAAGTGGAACAAATCCAAGGGCATTTGAAAGGCATATTATTTTTCCTACCTCATTCTACACTAAGCCCCTTGACTTGTACTCTTGAGTAGATAGATCTATGCCAATAACTGGTGTTTTGGTTCACTGGCAATTTTCTGGAAACTCAGGGGGAGACAATGGTTTTAGGCCAACCCGAAAACAACTTTTTAAAAAAAAATTTTTGTCAAAATGAGAAGCTGAAAGAAGAATTCATTTCAGGTTGAACAAAACGTTGAGTTCAACCCAAAATGAAAAGTTGGGGTTTGATTTGAAGCGGGGTGTTGTTTTTTTAACAGTTTAAATCGTTTAGATAAAATGGAAATTTGGAACTGGAAGTCATTTCAAACTGAAAAATCACACCGAGCATGTCAAAACAAAACGTTTCAATTTTTGCTAAAATATTTTTTTCTAGTTGACCGAAACAAGATGATGAAATTGACATGAATTTGTGAAATGTTTCAGTCAACCCGAATCTGCATTTTTCGTCCCAAAAAAAAATTTTGCTGAAAAATTTGGTCAGCTCTACTCTGGATTCCCTTAGGCCCTTTTGAAAAGTGCAACCATTGTCTTTCTTTTAGTGATCTGTTCTGCATTTCATGCTTAGCCGGGGGCACCGGTGGTGGGCTCTGTTCTCTGCCATATTCTCCATTCTGTTGATTAGATCTGCCCTGGACTGTATTCTGGTGCTGGTGGTGGGGCCTGTTCTATACTGTATTCCTTTCTCTCTCCTCTCCCGTAGATATTTGAACTCAACAAACGCATGTCAGCTATTGAACACATGCTGAACCGTCTGGAGGAAAGAATCCTGGTGCACTCAGAAGAGGTAACAGTGCCGAGTTGGGGGGGCTATGCACCACAGGCGAAAGCATTTCCTTTCGCAGTCTCCTCAAACTCCTTTGAAGCAGCTTGCGTTGCATCGTCAGGAGATGTGGCTCCCAGTTACATAGGCAGTAGACAAGAAATCTGCTGTACAACTCAGCACTTGGGGAGGAGAGGTGCTTCTGTATATCTAGGAGGTGGATAGTGCTGCCGGCTGCATCAGCAAGTATGTCTGCACTGCAGTCAGGAGTGTTACACTGCTTGCAGCCTGGGTACATATACCCAGGATTCCAGGCAGGCTTGTAGGGCGGCAGCTGCGCCACCAACCATTCTGCTGCGCCCATTCTAGCTTGATTAAAGCTAACTCCTGCTGTTCTGCTCTCACATCTCCCGATTGCAGTGTAGACACACCCAGTAAGTCAGGCTGCTGCACGCCACAGACGTGATGGCTAAAAGGACAGGGATGAAGTAGTTTGTTTAAATCCTGGGCTATTGATTGCACCAATAGACAGACTAACATATAACCCAACTCCCCCAGGCGCTTAGTTCTGTCCCTCCCCAAATGTACACCAGCACCCAGCACCTGCCACACGCTTCAGTCTCTCTGGAGCATTCTGAAAGAGGAACAGAACTTTCTGCCCAGGAGGGCACAGCATTGGCTGGTGAGTGTGCATCTTTCCATTGATAGAAAGGTCCTGGAGCTGCGTCCAAGGCTAAAATGGTTTTCAAATGGCAGATGATTCCTCTTTTTAACCATTTAGTTTAACCTTTTAGACCCTTGTCATTTTTCAGCTTGTGAGCCTCATCGGAAAACTGAATGTAATGGAAAATGAATGGTTATCAAACGTGCCAGTGGTGTTCTGACAGGTGCTCGAATGAGCTCCACTTCAGTCCTTTCTCTGCACGAACAAGACTGTTTTATTTATACTGATCTAAGGAATGTTCCTATATGTTTGTAAATGCTTCCAGAATGGATGAGAACTCTGGGGTTACGGCACAGGAATCAATAGCTACATTAAATCTAATAATCGGTGTGTTGTGAGTAGCAGATTCTAACTGAGAAGGACATTTGTCTTTTCCATGTTATTGCCCTTGTTCGATGGCCATCAAGGAAGATCAATTTAATTTTAAATTCTCTTGTGACATTGAATCAGCTGGTATATCGGTAGGTCACTTAGTGCTAATTTGAGTTTCCAGTTGTAGAATATTTATGCACTTTGCTTCCTTTACGTAGGATCGTGCAGTTAATTGATATGACATTTGATAGCTCAGTAGAAGGGACAAAAACAATTTTGAAGATTCGTGCAGGTCTGGCTTGAATGGAGGGTAATTTCTCCCTGGTTAAAATTAAAGATGGGTTCAAGCTGAAAAGTTTGGTGCTTGCTCCAAATCCAAACATCATCAAAATTTAGGGGTGTTAGGATCCAAGATTTAAATGGAGTGCCTCTCTAGAGCAAAGAAAATTACTTACCATTTTTCAACTAGCTCTGCTGGATTGGTCTTTTGATTTTTGTTTTTCCTTGGTGGAAAATTTTGATATTTTTTTTTTTCAGCACAAATTTGAATACCAAAATATTTTGGTCAAAAACTGAAATGTTTTGATTTGGTTGGAAATGCTGCCAGAGTGCCTCATGGGAGTTGTAGTTTGTGTTCCTCATGCTCCTATTCTCCTTGATAGGCCAGGCTCCCCGGCCAGACTAATCTCCCATGATGCACCACACTCTTCCCTTTTGCAGAAGGGAAGAAGTGCATCATGGGAGCCTGTGGCCATGCTGCATCTAGTGACAGCATCGTATTTCAGCATTTGGGTTTCAGCCAAAATATTTCAGTTTTGTTACAAAAAAATCAAAATCTTCTGCAGGAAGCAGAGACTTTTTTGCAAAGAAAATGTTGTTTAGTCAAAAACTCCATTTTCTGTCAAAAGTTTTGATGGAAAATTTTCAACCAGCCCTATTTATTCAGAGGTCAGTTCTTTAGGATAGGCTGCTCTAAGTGACTAGGCTGGTGCCTGTCCAGCTCAGGATCTGATAGCACTGTGTGCTTCTTAGCCTGGATTCTCAGATCAAGCTAACTTATTGTAGGATACAACCTGCCGCTTGTGTGCTCCAGCTTGTATTTGTTATGTGAGGGATGGCCTTAAACTGCATGAAGATAGTTGGCCCCTGAGTCATAGAATATCAGGGTTGGAAGGGACCTCAGGAGATCATCTAGTCAAACCCCCGGCTCAAAGCAGGACCAATCCCCAGACAGGTTTTTACCCCAGTTCCCTAAATGGCACCCTCAAGAATTGAACTCATAACCCTGAGTTTAGCAGGCCAATGCTCAAACCACTGAGCTATCCCTGCCCCCCAGCCATACTGCACATGAAATCCATACTGCATGTGAAATCTGACATGGAGTCATACTACCTGTGGAATCTCACGGAGTTCCGTGGGCTGGAAGACTCCAGGGTCTAGTTGTTTGAGAAGATGAGTGATAGATGCTAAGTGGTGATTAGGTAACCCACCTCCATGGAGTGTGGCTCTCTCTCCCCCGCTAGTGGTTGGATCACATCGATATTTATGAGTCTGTACAGCCATCTCAGGTAGAGGCGTATTTTTTTAGATCCAGAGGTCCTGGGTTTGAATTCTGCTGCCGACAAACCACCCAAGAGCATTGCATTACATTTGAGCAAATAAATGACTGAATAAACCCTCTCTTTTATCCTTTTGCTAGCAAGACATGTCCCGGGAAGCTTTAAAATATCAACAACATTCAAATTGCATGAACACCAACAGACTGAGAATTGCTTGCTTTTCTACCTCTAGTCTCCGGCCCCTGAGTCCCACACCGATGCAGATGTGGAAGAGGAGGAATTGAAGAGGAAGCTGGAAGAGTTAGCCAGCAACATCAGCGACAAAGGAGTTTCTTCTGAGGAAGAGGAGGAAAAGAAGAAGGGTGAACCAAAACCCGAAATGAGCTCCTCCAGGAGTGACCCACCCAGTGATGCTCAGAAGGTAGCATGCTTCCTACCCTCTAAAACTCAGTACCATTCTCACACCATTCTCCATGTTTCCATTTATGTTCCTACTCTTCCCTCTGCTCTTAACATCCTATAACTGCACCACAGTCCAGTAACTATTGGCTGTTCCTATGCCCCATCTTGGACCCTCAATGTTGGCACCTAAGATCTTTGCCTTTTCACCCTGGCTGGATGCTTACACTGGGGACTAGAGCAGTTGTTCTCAATCTATACCATACTGGGACGCGCACACCCACGGCTTCCCTCTCCCATTTAGCAATAAGGGAAGTGCAAGGTGGTCCCAGCCCGTGCATGAGCCCCAAGTTGAGAACCCATGACTTAGGGTGGTTCATAAACCAACCCACAAATCCCCTAGCCTGCATTTCAGACAAATCATTCTCATAACTGAAGCCAGGAAACTACCTGCATTTTTCCCCTCCCTAAGTCTAATCAGACACCAAAGAGGGTGCGCACTTTCTACTCAACAGAGACATTCGTCTGGGCTGCTGAGAACAGCAAACGCTTTGCTAAAGTGCTAGTGGAGAGGGTACAAAGCCCTCCCCGCTTCTTTTGGGGGGGGGAATGTAGTGAAGTATAATGGTGAAATCCTGCCCCCTGCCTTTGATGCAGAAGAGGGGTGAAAATATGGAAGATTTGCTCACCGTTTTGTGTGCGCGCACGGTGGGGAACCTCAGTTCATTGGAGGCCTCTCCCCATGATGTTCTGCAGCATCAGGGATCGTGGCTTGGGAAGGGGGAGCTGCTCTCCCCAGCAGCAGCCACTCATGCAAACCCGCGGCGGGATTCCCTGTGTAAGATAATGCCAGCACTCTGCCCTGTCAAGGGGGGCTGGGCATCAGTGAGGTGATGTGGCTGTAAGGGCTGGGGAGCAGGGTCTGGTATGAGGTCTGGCTCAGTAACAGCTGTCAGGCGCTCTGTAAACGCGCAGTGCTAAGTCAGGGAAGTGCCGGAGATGGGGCTAGAACTCAGGAGCGACACTCAGCTGGGCCTGTGCTAACCCGCCGGGCTCAGGGTACGCCTGCCCAGCCAAAAAAGAAAACAACCCACAGCAGCGCATCTCAGAGCCTGGGTCAACTGACTCGGGCTCACGCTGTGGGGCTAAAAAGAGCAGTGAAGGCCTCCCGCTCGGGCTGGAGCCCGGGCGCTGAAAACTGGCGATGGGAGAGGGTCTCGGAGCCCAGACTCCAGCTTGCACAGGGACGTGTTTTCCGCTCCGGTTAGCCCCACAGTGCGAGTCTCAATCAGTCGACCCGGGCTCTGAGACTCGCTGCTGTGGGGTGGTTTGTTGAAGTGTAGATGTCTCCTGAGCAGCCTCCGGGAACATAGCCCCACTTCTCCCATCCCCTCCTCCTGGAGCAGCCCTTCCCAGAGTCCCAAGCAGATTTTGCCATCGGACTGCAAAAGGGAGCAAGGCGACCCGCACGTTTGCGTCTCTTGCGTTGTGTCCTGCGTTGCCAGTGAAAGAACTGGAGCCCCGGACACGGATCGTGCCATCTCGGTGGGGACACTCAGTGTTACTGGGAGCAAATCCAGGCCCCTCTGTGGTGGCGCGGCCGCTCCTAAAGCAGAGGTTCCGCTGGGCAATCGGGCTGGATGCGGGGATCCTGTGTGCGACAGCCCTGCTCCATATCTGCTTCCTGAAGAGCAGGTGAAGGGCTGGTGGCTGGGCAGGGCCTGAGGACCTGCTGCTGAGTAGATCCTCCAGTCTTCAGGGAGGCCTGCCTAGACTATTCTAGCTATTAGCCCTCATAGGGAAGTACCCAGTGTCCAGCCCACCCTGCACTGGGCTCAGGCCCCCGTGTTGGCCTGGCAGTGTATGTGGCACAAGGGTACATCAGTGATGAAAAGCCCCAGACGGGTTTTGCAATAAATCCTTCCTTGTCCTTTGTGCTGTATTGAACTTTCATGTATTGGAATCACTTTTTCACACCTAGAAAGTAGCTGTTCCATTCAGCACGGGAGCCAGGGCAGTGCAGAGCCGCTCACTGACTTAACCCACCAGAGACAGGCCTGCTCTGCAGGAGGAGGGTCATTCACTTGGTGTTCTTATGAAGCTGAAAAGCCCCGGCAGACAGAGGCGTTCGGCGCTGTTAATACACTCGAACCTCTCCTCTCAGTCCCTTCTCAAAGAGATGAGCTCACAGGTCTTTTTTATCCCTAAATTGTATGACTCAGTCGGTCTGTATTGACAGCTTTGGTGATGAGTGGTTGATGGCAACCCATAAAGGATGGGAAGTGAGTCAAATATTAATTAAAGGAAGAAAGGGCTGGTGCCTCGTGTATTCTGCAGGCCTCGCACAAGTTGTTCTTTCCTTCTGAGGTGTTCCATTAGAACAAAGCGGAGAGGTCAGCATTCCTTTGGGTTTTAATGGCTCCTCTGTCCGGCTCTCCGTGTTGTTGTTGTTGTGCACTTTGACACGTCTCCTTTTAATGAGCAGCCTCACTATCAAAGGAGCGAGGCTGGGCTATGTTGCACGTAACTGCTTGTGCAAAGCAGCTTTCATCTGCGTGATCGGAGAGTCTTTTATTTCTCCATGAGGCCTTTTTCTCTTTGTTCAGCTGAATCCGGCAAGAAGACGCTTGGCTGCGGAGATGTAAATGACTCAGCCGTGGCGAGTGGCTGTACGGGGCGCCTGGGCTGAGTTTGTGTGTGTGCGTGCTGGGAGAAGATCTGTCTCCCAGCCCGGGGCTGAAGTTAAATTCTAGGGACAGCCGGCATTTCACATGCACTCCTTGGGTTACAGCTTGCTGTTCTCTTCTTCACAATCCCCCAGCAATATGGTGGACCCTCGCTGAACGGCTCTTTGCCAGAAAACTACTTAACAGAGTCCCACATTCTCTCTTCAGGGATCAGGTTGCACCTCCCAGATTCTCATGGTGCATCTGCACTGGCCCGAGTCCATTTGCATAAATAAGAGCAACTTTGGGTCTGCTCTAACTTTGTCAACTGGCTACGATCTCATAAGACCAAACACCAATCATGAATTGGCAAACGCAGGCGCATCCCAGCCCCAACATACCCCCTGCACTTGGGAGTAAGGAGGGGGGGCAGTTGGGATAGAAGCTACCTGAGAGCTCCCCTTTGCAAAGGAATTCTCAGGTGGCTCGGTCAGACCAGATTCCAGGGGCACAAAGTGGCTAGGACAGAGAGAATCTGGCTATAGAGTAGAATTTGGCTCCATGCTTAGAGTCAAGGTATCCCAGGAAGCTTCGCAGTACTGCTTGGTCGACAAACAGGGCAGTAGCAGATACAGAGCCTGTGCTTTTTATTCCCCCGACGTTCATTACAGATATTTAGAAAATGCTTCTTGTTAGAAAACTCTGTGTCCGAGAACAAACTTGATCTCAAGCTGCGCCATTTGGATCTGGACTCAAAACACCCCAAAATCTAGATCGGTCTCAGTCACGGTTTTGATTCAATCCATGTTAAAGACAACGGGGCCACTTGCAAAATTCCGATCCAGGTTTGCATTTCCAATACCCCCAAAGATTGGATCTGGGATTTTTTATTCAACTCCATGTCTGCTCAGGAAAAGCCACACAAAAGGAAGGAACTGTCATAAAAACAGACTCCTTTTTCTGTGAAAAGCAACTTGGAAAAGACAGATTTCTGTTTCCACCCACAGGTACACCACAAAATATCAAATGGACAGAGTTAGCCACCTCCTTGCTAAATGCTGTGCCAGGAACTATGTTTGTCTAGGGTGCGACCCTGTAAGCACACTGGTTAGTTTCTGCCCATGGTGTTCATATTGCGTCTATCTCCATGGTATCTAGGAAGTTATCAGTAGGGAGTAGGATGGTGTCTTTCTTTTTACTGTTTTTAAGTGTATCAAAATACAGGGCTGACTAGCTTGATCCAGAAACAGGTGGGCGCGGAACAAGCTTTATCATCCAGCTCTGACAATACTCCTCAGAAGGGCTGCTCCTAGGTTTTGGCGGTGCTGAAGTAATATGCCTTTTCCTATCCCCACAGAATCTGGACAGTATTGATATCCAGGCTCAGACCCATGGTACCATGAAGCCATATGTTGCAATTAGATGCTAAGCACACTCTCTGTGCAGCATTAGAACGGACCAGTTAGTAAGATCAGCACTACCCTAGGATACAAACAGGACGACGCAGGGAAAGAGGCAGAAAAAGGAACATTTTCTGCAGCTTGTCAAGGCTGCCCACCAAGAGCAGCTGTGGCCTGATAAATCAGGGGTGTGTAGCATCAAGGAACACAGCTGGGCTAGAGGACGGGAAGGGAGCATTCAGCCCCGGGAACCCGTCCCGGAAATAACAGCCACCCGCTTCCCTGGGCTGCCTGTTGAGAAGCAGATGTCTCAAATGGAAAGTAGAGGCAAGATAAGTAAACAGCCTGATGCAAGTGTCACCTTCCTGGGGTGGCCGGGAAGGGGCCGCAGCAGCGGCACGAATTTCATGGGTTATGCAAGTAATGAAGGCTTTTCTTCTTAGGCCACACAAGGAAGAGAGGCAAAGCATTGGGACTTGCCTCTAAAGCTGGGCCACAGCCATCTCTGTTATGAATGATTTGTATTCCAGTAGCTGCCTGAGATCGGGGCCTGTTGTGCTAGGTGCTGGACAGGCACATAGTGAGAGAAAATCCCAGCCTCAAAGAATGTACAGTCTGAATAGATCAGCCAGCAAGGCAAGATTAGCCCCATTTTACAGATGGGGAAACTGAAGCAGAGAGAGGGCTGAGCAGGATTTTCAAAAGCACTTCGGATGGGCCTAACTCTGCTCCCTTCAACTCCCGCCCTAAACGCTTCACCCAGGGAGTCTGTGGCAGAGCTCGCCATTGGCCCCAGCTCTCCTGAGTCCCAACCCACTGCCTTATCCAAATGCCCATCCTTCCTCTCGGCTGTTGTCTGTTTTAGTGACAGGCCTGCCCACCAAAATACACAAGGCCCAGCAGTTAATCCAACCCAGCGTTTTCCAACCCAGCGCCGGACAGCTGGCAGTGCCAAC